ATTAAAATATGGATTTTAATATTTTCTATAATTTATTATTATTTATTAGAAATATTATTATATTATTTTATAATAATTATTATATAATTATGTTATTATTTATATTATTATATGATATTATTATATTATTATTTATATAGCATACATAAATTCTATCTGATATTAAACTATATTGTAAAATGTTTATAAATGTATATTATTTTTAAAAATATCATAATATTGCATTTATATCGTAATAATGTAATTTAATTATTCATTGAGTAAATGCTACGGGATATTGTAGTTGTAGTTTATGACTTTAGAAGTTTCATTGTTTATTTTATAATATATGTAAATAAAATTATATTACAATGTCAGTCTTCGTTATCTTCAAAAATTATTTTTTAATTTAATGCTTAAATTTTTCATTCAAATTTTTTTTAAAAAACTGTTTTGTTTTTTTAAATTCCATATAAATATTGTATTTCGTAGTATTACCAGTAATATCATTTTCTTAATTTATTACTTTGAATGGCATATGAAATCCCCTACAAGGTAATGTATATTATATATTTACTGTTAACCCATAGTTTTTAATGTAATAACGTTAATCATAATTTAAACGATAATTATTACTCTCAATTCTAATGATTATTCTTCCAGAATTTTAACAATATTAATACTTCTATACCGTTACTTTTAATGTAGCTTCTTATATATTTACGCTTTAATATGCTTTTAGTAAGAATTTAATGATATTGATGTTATTGCCATAATTATTCAAGCCCTGTGCTACAAGAATTTTTATATAAACAATATGTTTTCCCTTGAAATGTGTATTATACTATTGCAATTTTTCCTTAAAACATTGCACAAGATACGCGAAATTTTCTTAAAAGCCTGGTACATGAAAGATAAGCAAACGCATGAAATTATAGTGCAATAAATAACTTGATGTAGAGTGGCTTAAAATCTTCACAGCCGTTCAGTTGAATTTAAGTTTAAAGTTTGCATAGTTGGGCAACGGGATTAAATAGAAGTTATAAGAACTTGTTGTGAATTGATTGTATAAAAGAAAAATATCTTTTAGAATGTATTGTATTCAATTTTTAACACACTTTAAAAGATTTTTTACTCCACTATTATACGGCAGTCCGAGTTTATTTTCTAGTTGAAGCTTAAATCGAAAAAACATTGGTAAATATGTACATTGTAAATATAGAGAAATTAAATCTACTTTTTTAATAATATTTTTCAAACGAAGACCATTGAGATGATAATTTATATTTAATAAATGTTTGATTAATATATAATTGTTTTAATTTTTTTTTGTTTTAATTTAATATTGAATAGAAAGTTTTAATAGAGAATATAGTGTAGTGCTTATGTATGGAAAAATTGTTCCTCGAATAAAATATCAAGATAATTCAGAATTTTGTTATAATTCAAAATTGAGCAATAATGATCTAAGGTTGATTTCGCAGTTGGGAAACCACCATTGTAAATTTACCGGAACTTTCTCATATATATATATATATATATATATATATATATATATATATATAGATGAATGTACGCTTGCAACAATGTTAATAGCACCAATTTATGGAGACTGGTAAACCTACTTCATTGTTTAGTTGTATTTATACGATATAATATACGGTATAATATGATATATATTTATTATATATATAACACGTATTCACATATATTCAATATGCCCATTATACATAAATAGTTAAGTTCTGTAATATTTGTGCAGTAGCACTCATCGCAAAATAGAAAATATGATTATAATAATGATCAGTGCCTCAATTATTGAATATGAATTAAAATCTTTATGCATATTTCTCTTTTTTATAAATAATTTTATGAATGAAATTTTCTATAATTTACTTCAATTTTACGATTTATTTAACATTCGATACATTCGTACAAATAAACTCTACGAAGCTTTAAATAATAGAAAAACCTATTTTATAATCAATCTTGTATAACTTATCACACATTATGATATAATAAAAGTAATTTTCTTTATTTATCTTAAATAATAAAGAAAATTATTTTTGAGTATTAAATGTAAGATTAAGTGTGGAATGCAGTCTTAAAATAAGAATGAAAACAAATTATAATAGGATGCAATTTAATTTTTGTCGGTATAGATTTAATTATATAAAATTGTATTTTAAAATATACATACTTGTATTAATTAATTTTAGGAATTAATTTTAGATATAAATCAAATGATTGATATGGAGCTTCGGAATAAATACCATTTTGTGTTTGTATTTATATTAAATATATATCTATTATATTGTTTTAAAATGATCTTAGCGGAATATTTCTATAAAAACTAAAATTTATAATATTCTCGAGTTTTTCAGATATTACATAGCATTGAATGACACAAATTGTTTTAACAATTGTAAATTAAAAAAATTAACTGTAGAAATTAATGCACAAACGTTTAAACTTATTAAAACAGTTACTATAAAACATATAATATCACGAAACACTATAAGCATTAAAACAACACTGAAACATCTGCAGAATTTACAACAGAGATGAAAAATTAAAGGACCAGAAATATGTCTGAAGAGTATGTATATGGTAGTGGCGTATCTTACACCTTATTAACTTTCTTAAGAAGTAATTATAGTATTAATGTGTATTTCGCTTGCGTTGCCTAAAGGCAGTCTCATTCACAAGCAAATTTCACTATTTGAATTAGCTCGGTCAAGTTAGCATACAATATCCGATAAGAAAGGGAAACGAGGAAACTTTGAAATACCGTTGAAATAAATTTCAATGCAACTTTTAATTTTTGCCTCGATCGACCTTTCATTGCAAATTAATCATTTTGTTTTGATGTTGCAAATAAAGTTGCTTAATGACGAGCCTTCCTACGATTAAAATGAAAACATAATGAATTATCCTTACTACATCCTAATATTTGCGAGGATAAAATATAAGTAAATAGAAATATGACTTACATTTATGTTATGAAATTTTAAGAAACATAATACGAATACTTAATTAGCGAAAATAAGCAAGAATGGCACTTACGATAAGAAGCATAGGTAATTATTTAATCCGAAGATGTAATTATTAATAGTTGCGATTATGCACTGTTAATTATAGTTTTAGAATTAATATAATGATTGCTATTTGTACTAGATTCGTCGCATTAATCGATCATTCTTATTAATAAATCATCGATACTTAATCATTAGAAATTTTAATAAAATACATTCAGATAAAAATAGAATTACGAATTTCATAAATATGCAATTTGAATTAAGAATTCGCAAAAGATGATATTATAATAAAGGAACAGCATTTCTTAATTCATATGAAATCTGGCCAATGCACACGAGTCATATAGAATGGCTTATTTATTAGAAAATTTGTTCACCCCATTAATAGAAAGTTAGTTACTCGAATCAAATGGAAGACCGATATTTTCCGGTGATTCTTTATTTGAGAAATGAGTCCTTGACGTTTTATATACGAATTTATATATAAAACTCCGTGTTACCCCATTTTCCATTCTTCTCGAATATTACGTCACCTTCAATGCTAACTCGAGCGAACTACATAGCGTAAATTCCTGTACAGAGACCCGTTTGTACATCGTGCTGACACCGGCGTCGAGACGTCGTGCTGTTGGTCTCGGGGTGGGGTTAAACTTGCCTGCCCGAGGCGATGGTAGCGGCGTCGGAGGTGGCGTCGGCGGTGGCGGTGGTGATGGTGGCGGCGGCAGCGGCGGCGGCGGCTCGGGTTAAGGAATTTAAAGCACGATTTCTTACGACTTGTCAGTTAAGAAAGAGTAACTTTTAACCGCATAAATTGCCGGCTCTTGAAGAAGATTCGATAATAGGATATTTCAGGTAAAACAGCTACTCAGCTTTTATTCATTTTTGCTATTCTCACGGGACAAAATCGACGAAATTAAAAAAAAAAAACAGTGTTTGCTAGGCTTGTGACGATCTGGCCTTTATACGTATATATATATATATATATATATATATATATATATATATATATTATCAAATATAAATTTTATCTTACAGACATATTTAAGCATTAATATATATTTATTATTTGAATAATTTGATAGTTCCTGCATATATATAATACAATTTCATAATAACCTTACGGAATCAAATATATTTTGATTTATGCTATGAGATGGCATTATTATTCGTAGAAAAGGAATCGATTGTAACGTAGTAAGGATATAATATAAAAAAAAAAAAAAAATTACTCGAGATTTATTTCCAATATTATTTCAGACAAATTGAATGTCATACAACTGTATTAATGGTTATTCCTCTTTGTTATATACAATTTCCTCACTCCACTTTCTACAAAAAACTAATCAGAACTTGTTCGAACACAAAAAAAGTACATTCTACTTTTATTCACCTCCAGGAAAAGTAACACAGACATCGAATGTTCTAAAGACGACTTAAAAAGGATAAATGGAAACAATTTGAAAAATTATGAGTCCATAAAATTGTCTTGCCAAATGCAAACCATTTTTTTTTAAACTATGCACGGCAATCTTAAATGGTGCATTGTGAAATTTCAAAAAAATTTTAATATTTGAAAATTTATGAGGATAGAAAAATCTCGATAAATATATAGTTATATGTAAAAATCTTTTCAGCCTCATTTCAGCCACGAAATATTTCCAGAATTTGTAAATTAAATCATAATTTTCTAATTAAGACAACATTTGCCATTTATTTTACTAGAAGCCACAATGTTAAGAAAAATGTATAATTATGAGCTATGAATAAACGAAAACATATTTTACTTATGTCTTATGTATTATCGTATTATAACACTATTATTTAAATAATGAAATACTAAAAGTAACTGCAAATGCTTTCACTATCGATTATACATTCTTATTAATTTATTCAATGAAATTTAGTTAAAATGAAAATTTTATTCCAATAAATTTTTTAATCTGTATATTAATAAATACTTTTGTAATTTTAATTATTACTTACCCGTAAATTGGCTCGTTACTGGGTTCTTTGTACCAAAGTACTAATTTCACAACGTCACTATATTCTGACTCTAAGTTGCATGGTAATTGTACTTTATTTTCAGCTACCCCGGATACATCAATAAAAGATACTGAAATAAAAATAATATAGTCAATCTCATGATTTAGTTTCTATTTATTAAATAAAATTACATTTTACTAATTATAATTGTTTTAATTTGAAATATGCTGCAATATATATATATATATATATATATATATATATATATATTGTTTCGGATTAGCATAGATTTTGTAATGCAATTATTATGTGAAAAGAACTCAAATAAATAGTATAAATATCAATAGAATTACAACCAAATTTTTGCATTTTTTAAATAATAATATATATTGCAAATGCTAAATATATCTCATATTATTAAATTAGGGAGAATTTATTAGTATTTAAATAATACAATTGAGCTATCGTGGATCTGCATGCATCTTTAACATATACAAACACACATAGATGAACGAATTTTACACAAATTCACACACATTTATAAACCCTTATCCATGCTTACACATGTGTACACATTGAATCGTACATTCACAGATACTTACACATATACATCTATTAAATAATTTATCAATATAAGTTCTGTAGATTCATAATTTCATGATTAATTAATAAAGTGAATCTATTGATTAAATAAGTCATTAATTTCAGATTATTAGTCTTGTAAAAATTTAGGAAAAAATTATGCAGAAATATACACTTTAGAAGTTTCTCCACTTTGTTTAATTAAAGTACAAGTTTCCTATGTAAAATTTGAATAAAATATTTGTCAAATGTTAATTATATTAAACGATTTAACTTTAAATATATTTTGAAACTTAAAAAATGTACGTTGAATCATGTCATACGGATTCTTTTTTAATAAACCCATAATTTATAAATATACTTTAATGTAAGTAATTAAAAAATTTATTCCCGATGTTCAACATAATGATTTTATCCAATTAATTCATATACATAATATTATAAAAATCTATAATTTTAAATATATAGTAATTAGGAAAATTAAATTTCTCCACTCGTCTAATTTAATGATATTTTCAAAGATTCGCAAAATATGAAAACAAACTTTGGAAATTCCAATGCATTGTGGGAGGTTGTTGTTGTGACATGAAACTTGTGTGCGTGTATAACATAAAGTTTAGTACTCGGGTGAACCAAGGAGATTCTTAATACACACTAAGCATCCAAGCTTATACCATCCATTGCGTTTAAATAAATTGACACGTAGATTTCAACAAATAATAAAGTGATATAATCTGATACTGCATAAACTTACGTTTTTATATGAAAAAGAAACAAAATATGTATATAAACGCGTATCGAGCACCTAGTGTATGGCAAATTATGTTGTTGCCAGAAAAAAAAAAAAAAAATATTTGTAACAACGAATGAATATATTCGTAAGATTGTATATATAAAATAGGTATTATAAATAAACATTGTCGCACCTAAGATGTGCATCGAATATTTTTAAAATCACCAGTAATTATTATTCATATATATTCACTAATTATTAGTTCAATAAAAAATTCAGTCATACGCTTACAATTACGTACGCTTTTTTATGATATTTATTAACATTAAAATTGAAATTAAACCTTTTCTTTAGTGGTTCCTCTTTTAATTCTTTATTATGTCATAATCAGAGAAATGCTTATAGATATAAAAATCTATACGTTTTAAATTAGATAGAATAAAGAGATTCTTATTGCTTTTACTTATCAACTTAGATAACAAATATCTGGGATTCTTTTTATATATCTTTTTCTGTAAGATATCGTCGGTGTGAAATCGAAAGAGAAAGAAAAGGAATAAAACAAACAAAACAAAAACAAAAAATGAAGAAAAGTAGGCTACACTTGTGGGAGAAAACCATTTTGCTTTCATAATATTACACCGACTACTGACATTATGACTTATCCTTTTTTTTTGTCCGATTCGATTAACTTTACAGTTGCTCTGAAAGCTCAGAGACTTGTACATCTATTTTTTGCAAACTGTAATAAATTTTTTTTTTAAATTAAAAAAAATTCTGTACGTCGGCAAGCTTATAATCAATCTTTTTAATCTAATTTTAATTTTTATTAATCTTAACATATTTCGATTAAATAAATCAACAAATGTAAATCGAAAATTAAAATTATTTTCCACGTTACAATTGTGGATATTTTAATTTTTAATAGTTACGTTAAATTCATATAATTTTGAATAAATTGTAATAAAATATTCGATAACAATGACCAAATAGAACTATAAATACTATGTATACTATTTTTTCATTCTATAAAATTACTAATTTATTTTAAAAAAATCTTCCTTGTACAATTAAATAACGATATGTTCCATCTTCTTTGAAACAAATAATATCTTACACATTATTGTTTAAAGCATTATATATTATTAATATCATTATTTATTATTAAATTTGATTATTATCATTTCAAACTAGTTACAACTATTACTTTTAAGTACTAATAAAAATGATAGATTTATAAAAAACTAACATATGTGATATTCAAAAGTATACGAAGAGTCGTAAAGCAATTTCCAAACAGGAATTTTATTAAACTATCAAAGGAAGTTTAAATCCATCATACATCATATTAAAGAAGCACGTACGTACGTATTTTATTAAATAATATTTGAATATACGAGGTCACTCATTATAAGTATGTGCAACTTCGTACTGAAATAAATTATTATGCATCGTTTACTACTTATTAAATTTAATTCTAATAATTAAAATTCTATACTTTTATAAGGTTTAAAAATGTTTTAAATATAAATATTATTTCAAAGAATAAATATATTCCCTATATGAATGTCATATTCATTCATAACTAATTTGTAAATACACGCATACACACGCACACACGCACACACACACACGCACACACACACATGTATATATATATATATATATATATATATATACATAATAATCGATGCATATAGAACACAAAAATTTAGGTATTTCATAGGCAGTTTGAAACTATATATTTCGATAATTATATAATAAGTGACGAAATATTTTTACAATAAATAATTATAACGAAATCGAATATACAAATATTGACCAGTCATTTAAAAATGTTTCAGAATTACGGTATTGTTTGTACAAACTGTTTTAGTTAAAGATTTTCTGATGACAGAAAAATATTTATATATATTACGAAAATTACTGCTGAATAAATAAATAAAAAATTCCATGCTTTGGCTTACATTGTTAAAATATATTGTTTCTCAGATTATCTTAATACGTATTCTCCCCTCTACTTTAAATATGAGTTACATTAATTTAATTATTTTATTAATTATTGATATATATATATATATATATATATATTAATTATAGATAATTAAAGAATATGAATTAATGTTAATTCTAAAAAGCAATTTGGTTAAAATAGATATGTAATCCTGCCGTTGGTAGAAAAAAAAGAGTAGATTTTATATGAACAGAAAAAGTGTAATATGGGAAAAGTTAATTGTTTTGAAATTTTTTTAAGTAATTGTCGAGCGCAAGCAAGTGATGTTGGAATATAAAACTTTTCCATTAAAATTAACAAATTTTCATTCCATAAATAATTATGAATACTTAACAATGCAGATGTGCAAAGTAAAATGATCATTGATATTTCAATCGTTGTATAATAAAGTGATTTTTAATCAGATGAGCACTGATTACAAAATTCCGGATAAGCTGTTACTTCGGTAATTCATCATAATTCAATATCAAGACATGCGACACAAATTTAAATACAAAGTCACTTTCAATCCCAGTAACGACCGCGTTGACACAAAATTAATAACACCTGCACTTGTTGACATTGGCTATTATCAATGCAATGCCGCATGTACACACACATATACTCAGAGGCTCTTGATGGGGGAGGGGGAGAAAACATTTTACGAGAAATTACATTCATGAAGTCTGACAATGCCAACGCACGACACTCGTGGATTATAAGTTCGCAAAGAATTTCGAAAGTCAGTCGAGTGACCCTACGGAACAATTTCATTTATCACGGGAAAAATGGCGGTTAAACTCGTAAAAGAGCTGGCGAGCATGCCTGTAAACTTTTCGGGATAGGAAAGCTTTGTCACGAAGGAATATCGCAAGACGAAAAGTGAGGGGAAAACAATGAGGTGGAAAAGGGATGGAAATAAGAAAATAAGAAAAATAGCGGACTCGAGTGAGCTGTTACGTGAGTTAGAGGTACCAGACGAAATTGAATAGATTTCGGCATATCCATTAGTGGGTAAGAGAAAGTTTTTCACCTTGCGATTCTTTTTCACATAAATTTCAGCAACGCTTAGATTAGGAACGAACGATACTCTATATAATCATTTTTATAAAATACAAAATTCCCTTTCAATTTTTCATTTACATAAAAAATCAAAATACATCTTTGTTTTGAAAGAATGGGATTCGTATTTTTTTTTTTTTTTTTTTTTTTTTTTTTTTTTTTTTTTTTTTTAATGATAATCGTAATATTGAGACAGTAGAACGATTATAGCATAGACTTCATAGATTTGACAATGAAGAGAGTGAATATTTCACTGACTCGTTATTAAAGAATAATTACTATTTGTCATTTTCGAAGATAAATAAATATAACTGAGAACTTCAATATGAAATGGTATTTTTTGTAAAGGAATGAATTTCTGAAATTAGCGCGAATAATCACACAATTTGGATGATAAAATAATATTGATAACAGAAGTAACATAAATTTATTGTGAATTATGAAAATGTATTGGCGTAAAAATAAATATCGAAGGCGTATTTAGAAGGATAGGAAATGAGCAAACGAAACAAGCTAACAAGTATCTGCTCCACAGTAACTGAACACGATCGAAGCTTCGGATGCTGCCAATTCATCACGATTATGTCGAATAGCTACTAACTATTGCATAATCAGCGAATCAACAGAGATGAAAGGAGGATTGACTGATTCAAGCATCGACTCATTCATCGGCTTTTATTAATTTCGCTGAGTACTTTGTGATGTGGCTTTTCTAAATTTTCAGATATTCTTAAAATCTCGAGCTTATGATGAATTTGATTGTTCAGACATGAAAGGAATATGTACAAAAATGCCTATACGTCGATTCTATTTAATACGGAATGAATGACACAATAGAAATGAAAATTAATTGTTAACGCGGTGGTTGCTGCGTTAATAATTTTACATTATCATACTTCATGGTAATTTCACCAGTCTCTTAAGATTATTATTCTAACGATATTTCTTCCATTTCAAGAGTAATGTATGTAAATATAAAAATAGATTCATTGCGTAAGTGGTATTTTCACAATTTATTAACATGACTTTTGTATATTGCTTAACGAATCGTTAGCGCACCGATACATCGCAAGCTTTTAGTTCGAATAAATATAAAGTAATAATAGATAATATTACTTTTCATAGATTTCCATTTTATTTTCTTTATGAAAACTTTTAAATAGTCCCATCGTAATTTGCTGATTACTTTAAGAAATCGCAATAATATTCAAATTTCACGAGGACGACGAATAAATTTCAGTGCATTAAATAATAGATATACTATTACTTTCCGTTATAATATATAAAATTACATTCTATTTATCTATCTCCTTTAAAATTTAAATATTTTCATAATTATGTAGAAACGAATTATTAGTCCACCTTATTAATATTATTCAGCCTACGTTTGACTGACGATCACGATTGGTCAACATAAACTAAAAAATAATCATTAGCCTCATATAGATAAGGGAATATTATTTGAGTAAGATTTATAAACAAAGTAATGACTGGAAGTAATTGCCTGGCATGGAAATTTCTTCTGTTATCATTTATGTTACCACATAAGTTATATAGCTCGCACGCTGAAAATCTTATTTATAAGAATATGCAAACTCGCAGCAGAAACTCGTCTGTTAGTGTCAATGGACCTTTTACTCTCTTTTCATATGCATCGTACGAGAGAGAAAATAAAACAAAATAACAAAAAGACAAAAAAAAAAAAAAAAAAAAAATAAAAAAATAAAAAAAAAAAAGGAAAAAGAAAAAGAAAGAAATAAAATTAAAACGAGAAAGAACGAAAAACGAGGTAAAAGGATCAGGGATATTTTGAGATAGACGTAATATCAAATCGTCTCGTTTGCATAATCGCGAGAGAAGGCTTGTGCATACTAATTGAATTCTTTGAATTTT